CTTGAGGGGGAAGATTGATTCAAATGGCATTCTTGGAAGAACGCTTAAATACGGGTCTAAATTTTGTTCTCTCGGCAGAGGTAGAGATTAACTATCCTAATAAGAGAGTTGCTATAAGTTTGTTTAGTTGTTTTGTCATTGCTTCTGAATGTGATTCCCAATATATAAACTTCGGATTGGGGGACAAATTGGTGTGACCTCGCTTTGGTGACAATTCAGCCATGGAAAGCTGTCTTTAGTAACATTTCTTTTGCTGGGTTTATATTTTGCAGATAGATCATAGTAAGAAAGACTACAAATTCGGATTCGGATTGACTGTAGGGTGAGATTCAATTTTATTTTCCACATAAGAAAAGAAAAGCAATGGAAGATGTTCTTGGTGACACCATTAAGCATCTTGCCAAATATTAAAGAAATGAGTTTGAATTCGGAAACATTGTTCATCGGCGGTGATGGTAGAGCAATTTTTATCAGGTACTGTCGGTATCCGATTTGACGGGTCTAATACTTGCGATTTTCGGTTTAGAGGTATAGCATTTGTCAAATCAATGCAATCTGAGATTGCTTATGCTCTTTCCTCTTATACCCATAATAATATAGCCAGGGCCATATTTTATATATAAAAACAGTCGGAAAAAATATTTGTGTTTATTCAAATTTAAATTTGGATCAATTCATTACCTTAAAGGTTCTTATTTTTAACTCAAAAACATTTTGGTGAAAGAAATGCAAAATATTTTTAATACATTGGTAGAGTACTTAAATTCTTAATTTCAAATTTTAGTATAAAAAGCAAATGTATTGAATAAACGAATCTTAATCTAATTCAATATCAAACTAAGATTGAGACAAGGCGTTCCTTCAACATGATATGCACCGATTCAAAAGCTTTAAATATCAATATTTCAACCTAGTCTATAGTACGCGGATAAAGTGCATTGTTTTAATTCTTATTGACATTAGATTTTAAGATTAAATTTGGATAATTTTATTTATTTTTCTTATAAAATATATTTATTTAAGTATAAAATAAGATTAAAAAGTAAAATTTATATAATTTTCATATCAAGCTTCAACAATGCAATGTATTTAGATAAATTCATATATTTGACAAAGATTTCTAACACGAGTATTGTGATTAAAAAAAAAGTCTAGAAAAATAAAGTATTAGTTTCATGTAGTGAAAGGTTGGTCTTTTCTTACTCTGTCGAGTTAAGAAATAATTTTAAATATTTGACCTAAAAAACAGCATTTCTTTTCAAGTCTTAATTCCAAAGCAGTTTGTTTTTGCTTACACCAACGCTTTGAGTTGAACATAGAAGCTATTCTCTTTCTACTGGTGTTTTCTGAGTGTTCACGCCAACTCTGGGTTACTTTATTATTTTAAAGTTGTTAATTTTCTTGTGTTCTGTTTGATCTCTGAGAAACCGAAGAGAACGAGAGAGGAACTTGTTCGAAAGCAAAGAAAAAAAACAACCCTCTATCCAGCTTATTACTTTATTGCTCCCCTTTTTGTTCTCTTGTTCTTTTAGTTGTTTAAGGAAATAAAATACTCGGAAACAAGAAAAAAGAAAAAGAAAAGTGCGATTCATTTAAAAAAAAAAAAACTTCTTGTCTTTCAAAGCACACGGTTGTTGGCTTCATCAGAGCAAGAGGAAACCATCATTGGGACCGGCAAAACTTGAGGCGTAACGAGGATATTTTTACGCAAGGGTTTATTTATAGAGATTATTTTTTATTACAGACGTGTATATGAGGACTGCATATGAAGATTATTTACATACGTATTTTATTTATTTATTTAAACATGCATTGTATTTTATCTTTATTTTTAATTTTTTTTACTACAAAAATCTTCTACGAAGCTGCTCTCAACCTGACGTGGGAAACAGTTTACTACCCTATCTCCCCTTATCTTATTGTATATGGGAATATAATTTTGTTGTTGTTGTTGTTTTGTTTTTGCTTACAATAAAGAGAAAAGGTAAGTTTTCTGTCTTTTAGTCGATCATTTTCCTTTGTGCGATCGATATCTTTTGGTTTCATTTCCCTTTTATGTCTCAGATTTGCCTCAGCTTCAAGTTCTCTGTTTGTTTGTTCATGGGAGAATAGAAAATCAAAGCGATCATGGTATCTTGATTTAATTTTCTATTTGGGTTTTAGTTGAAGTTAAAGCTACTAATATAGCGAACCGAATACTTTTCTCAGTCGAATCCGTCAAGAAAGTAAAAAACTCGGATTCTGGGTAAAATTCAAATATCCTCAGTTTTTTTTTTTACGATTTTTCCATTTCTGTCCTCTTTGATGTCTCGATGTCTTGAATAGAAAAAAAATAGCATGTTTTGGACATGCATCTCTGCAAACACATGGAAGCTCATGCAACGTCGTCTAATATAACGTTTGTAGGAGAAAATGACTGGTTTAGTTGAGATGTTTAAGTGCATCTTATGTTGTGCGGACGGGACATTGGCATTACTGATGATCGAACTTCCTTCAGACATGTCTCCACCGGAACTTTGAGTCACCCTCTGCTTTACTCGAGTTCATCACTCGTTCACTCAACTAGAAATGAACCAACTCGACCGTCTAGGCCAAGTCAGGTACCTGTTGAATATGAGGTAGTTATAGGGTTAGAATCAAATCAACAAGATTCGATAGGATCATCTGTGGAAAGGTTTTATCAATGGCTTCAGAATTCCAAACCACCACTGTCCTCGGTCAAGCCGATTCTATGGCCTCCTAGTCCACCTCCATCAATGAAAACATCTTCACGGTTCACATCCCAAGAACCATCTTCATTGCCTAAATATCGGATGCCATCTAAACCATCCATACCAACTCCGAAACCATCTTCTTCATCTACTAAGCCAAATCCATCCCTTAAACCAACTCTATCCTCTCTGCCTTATAGTTCAGCCACACAACAAGGGAAAGGAATGTACAAGTTGGTAAGGATAAATTACCTATTTACATGATTCCAGAGGACATCAAGGACTTGATTAAGAGAGACATTGTGCCCGAAGTTATGAAAAGAAACCATTGTCTCCCTCAACATACAAGGATTACTTTGCAGCTCTTCTGTATGCTGAAGATTACTACATTGAGGTAATGGAATCGTTTGTCTTCAATTAGAAGTTATATTATTCGATTCTATCTGTTTATGTCATTTGATATATCATTGTGAATGTTTTGACATGGATTGAATCCGAATATTGCCCTTAATTAAGTAAACATAGAATGAAACAATGATTTTGCATCATGATCTAGGATTTGCAGGAAACTAATGAATGGTTTAACCTTCTCTTTTTTCATCTCCCCCACCCCCCAACCCAAACAGAAATTGAGCCATTTCAGGTTTACCTCTCTTTGCATTATTTTGCATTTTAAGATAACAATTCGGGTTTAAGTGTTAGAGTCGGATATGCGTCAATGCATATGAGTGTGACATCTTTGACATCTTTATCTTTTCTTACTCCTTTGTTACACTCTTGTGTTGTTTCAGGGAGTTATATATAGGGTGCATAAGAGCACGACTATACTAGTCGAATTCGGAGATGAGTTTCATGCTCAGCATGATTCAACCTGCAGATATAATATCCGATTCTCATTCAATAGACTTTGCTTGAAAAGGGCTCACCAAGTAGTTGCAGCTGTGTCTGCGTCTTTAATCGGAAAGTTCCTTTTCCCTAATTCTATCTCCCAACATTCTATGCGTGTCTCAGAATATTTTGATCTTTATAATCATACCTTGATCGGGATGAAAAGTCCACCGTTCATCATATTTTGAATGTTCGAGGCCCTCCTCCGTTTTTGGTAAAGGGCCTCTCTGTGGAACGAACAATGGTCATTCTAAATCCTTTTCAAAGCAACTTTAAAAAACCGGACTGGTTGTTATAGAAGCGGTACTGCAAATTTATCGACGCAATCCACAGTCAAAGATCCTTGTCTGTGCACCTGTGATGTGCTAACGAGAAGCTTGAAAATGGAAATTCCAGCATCCGATATATTCAGAGTCAATGCTACATTCAGGGAGTCGAGGGGGTCCCTATCGATATCCTTCCATCCTGCCTATACAAAAGAGAAGCTGAATGTTTCAGTTGTCCTTCACTCCGTGAACTAAAGGAATTCCGAGTAATATTTTCAACTTTTATGAGTAGCTATCGCCTGTACAATGCAGGCATACCTGCTGGACATTTTAGCCATATATTCATGGTGGATGCTTCTTCAGCCACTGAACCTGAGACAATGGTGGCATTGGCGAACTTGGCTGACAAGAGTACAACCCTGATAGTTACTGGTGCACCCGAAAATCGTTCAAGCACTGTCCTTGCAGATATCGCAAGGCAGAAGGGATTGAAAATATCTTACTTTGAAAGGCTTTGCGAGCTTAGTTTGTACAAGAATGGCAATTTGATGTTCGTTGCACAGCTCAAGGACAAAGCCTTGGATGCCGGGGGAGAAATGCAAGGAACAAATGAACAAGGCCAAAAAATCACTTCAAAGACTACAAGAAGCTGAAAATTAAAATATTGTTGTGCATTTGTGTTATGTTTCTTTCTTGGAACACTTTCGTCTACTTCTCGTAGTATATAAAGTTGCTCTCTAGAGACTTTCAACCTTCATCACCGACTATTGTGACAACACGATGACTACACAATGAAAATTCATCAACATTTCGGAACAAAATACGAATGACAGATGAGTAAAACTAGACATTCTTCCTTCTGTATTTTGGTTTTGATTCTATACTTTTGAGCCACCTGATTTGGCATCTGCCGGACTGAAAACAGAAGAATGAAGATTACCATCTTCTAACCATTTGATGTTGATTCTCTTAATCAAATGAAGACTAAAACGCCTATTGATATGACCAACTCGGTAAGATATAGAGCAGAATGGTAAGAAATGCTGGAAAGGCTTGTGCCATATTCGTGTTGTAATCAATCAATATTGGAAGAGAGATGGAGAATAGGTTGGAGTTTCTAGCTTTAACTGCAAGCTACCACAACATAACTTCTTTAATTTAACATCACAAAATATTCAGAAACTTGTCGGAAGTATAAAATTGTTAGAAATAACCAATTATGCATCTCTAAACAACCGGCCACTATAGATTATGAATTGGAAAGATCATCATTTCTACCTATCATAAAAAATGAAAGCATTAAGAAGATAACGTTTAACATCACCAACAATGAAGTTCTAAGCAATCCTTTTCGCAGCATCTTCAGAACTCAATGATAATAAGATACTTCCGAGGTCATGCAATTCCTAACTTGAAGGAGATAACTGCTTTATTTTTGCTTGTAAAACTACTCCAGCTTCATCAGCTAATGTTTTCTTCTTGGATGCAACCTACATGTTAAATTAGACAGTTCTGTTACCACAAACGGAAAGCAATCTTTAACAATCAGAACATATTCAAAGAACATGGGCAACATAATCACGTCAGCCGAAAGAAAGCATGAATATTAAAGTGAAGGAAATCCATCTCAAGTTGATTAATTAGGCTCTAGTGTTTTGAGTAGTTGCATCTTTTTCTTTTACCCCAAGAGAGCCATGATTAGCATCACCCTGCAATAAGAAATTACAAACATGCATTCGACTAGCACATGTACAAAACACAACTAATCACAAGAGTGAGGAATCCTTCCTTCCCCATGGTGAGGTTTTCCAATCTAACAATATCAGTCGAAGAATCTCTTAAAGTAATCAATCTAGGGACAAATTACAACTACCCATGAACTTGGATTTACTCTAAGTCGTTTATGTGTCCACCTTTAAGAGGTGATATCTAGCTAGTTGTGGATACCAATGCCGGAGAGCTTAGTATCATCTAGCAACGAGAAATTACAAAGAATGTATCCACCCACAAGCATACGAAACCAGACTAACCAGAAGAGAAAGTGATCTTTCCTTCTCCACAGTGAGGTTTTCCATCTAACAGCATCAATTTAAGAAGCTTAAAGCAATCAAATCTAGTGGACAGCTAACTTAAAAGTACTCATGAAGCCTGAAACTTAGTCTAATTACTTCATCAATCCACCTTTAATTGCTGATATCTAATTGGTTTAAGAATTAACAAGTACCCATCAACTTTAACCATGAAATAATAGAGCTATTGCAATAAAAAACTTCTTTCCATCAAAAGAGTGATGGTCTAAAGCAAGAATAAAGGTACCTCAATGAGTTGGTCGAAATTGGATTTCAGTAAGTTGATCTTACGCTGGCAATAATCTTTGCCTTGGGCCATAGTTTTCTGGAAAAACAAATTTCAATACGAAACAAACAAGGGAAAATTAGATCGTACTCCAGCTGGTTGAAGAAAGTAATAAATCAGAAAAAAAAATATCATATCAATAAAAAATAAAATAGAGACCTCAACGAAGTATCCAGTGCCGATATCAACGAGAACCTTGTCGGCATCGTCAAGTATGCCCGGAACATAGAGCGAAGCAGTGAGAGGAACCAACATTTTCTTCCCTAAACACCCCCAGAAAAAAAATCAATACAAATATTGTATTACTCGAAAAAGTAAATGAAGAAGGTGATTTGACAGAATATGGGTGAATGATGGACCTTGGGGGCGGAGGGAAAGGTCGTGGAGGGCGGCGGAGGCGTTCTCTAGGCGGCCGGTGGCGGTGCGGATGTTGTTGAGGCTGTCTTGTAATAGATTGACTTCAATATCAGCTTGTTCTTTCACTGCTTTGAGCTGATCCAAGCTCATCATCTCCAAGTCCGCCATTCGAATCACTTGCTGGCTTCCTGCTCCCCTTGACGACGCCATTATTTACCTTTTTCTTTCAGCTAATTGTGCCCTTTCTCTCTTTTTCTTGTGTACAGAAAATCTTATATTGAAAATGAATTCGAATTTTTCGGTGAAATCACAAATCCTGAATCTCGGTTCAAACCCTATTTCATAAAAAATTAGAAATATTATACATAATCATTGAAATAATAATAATTTCATAAATAATATATAGAAAATATTAATTATTTTAAAATATATTTAAATTTTTAAAAATAGATAATAAAATACTTCAACATTTTTTAATATTATTTGTAAAATTTACCAATGATTAATTAATATAATAAAATAGCTCCACAATATCTTTTAAACAAACATTACATTTAATTCAATAAATCTCTATAAAACTCAATCTATATTAGTTGATTAAATCAAATAAGAATAACTTTATAAATGAAAAATTTATTATTGTTTTTATTTTTAGTTAAATCTAATTTTTAAAAAGTAAATTTATAGTTATACTTAATTATATATTATAAAATAATTATTTTGAAAAGGTTTGGAGAAATTAAAAAAAAAACTATTTTTACCAATTTCTTTTATTCAGGAAGAATACCAATTATTTTAAATTTCCTTTGCATATCAATTTTAATAATACATAAGATGAAATTTCAATAACTTAACTAAAAAATGTAAACATTTCGATTTTTATAAAGGCGATAAATAAAATTTATGATTAAAATTTGATTTAAACTACTATATCAAATAATAGACAAATAATTAATAATAATTTGACAATTAAACATTAATTTAATCAGAAGTATTATTATCACATGAACTTGAATATTGTAGATTTAAACGTAGCTTACGGTACAACTCGACACAAAAGCTTCAAACTAGTTTCTTTAAAATGTAGCCAGAGATTTGGCTGTTACCCTACACTCTTAATTTAGCATGTCCATGTTATGCATAAAATCGACCATACTCCATTATGAATCAAATAAATTACACAAAAATCAACATAAAATAAGATTGCATTTATGAAATAGTTATCACAAAAAGAAAAACATTCTACTTTATTTTAATTAAAACTTCTAATCATACTAGTAATTTCATGTTTAAACAAACTATTGTAATATTTCATCTTCTTCGAACGTAAATTAAGACTAGATAATCAAACGAGGCAATGTAATATAAACCGCACAATCTATACAATAATGAATGAGTAAATGAAACTATCATAAATAACCAAAGCTGTAAAACTTCCAAATGCATGTATATGTAAAATCCCAATACCAAACTAGAACTTCCTTAAAATGTATGTAACCAAACTAAAAGCTTATACTCTGCTTTCCCAAATTTGAAAGAGCCTATTTTATCACAATCTCCCTCATGTAAGAAATAGCTTATGTTCACGGTACAAGCTGCCAATTATCAAAATATCAGTTAGGATTTCATAACACAAATGATCCACAACAAATGTACATTCAAATTGAACATGAAAATGCCGGGAATATGATATAATTCATACCCGTAACGAAATATATATATTCGGGCATAGACATGGGATATGATCCTTCGAGGACCCTTCACACACGAGAAAAGACCAAACACGCCCATGACAAACAAATACTCATATCAGACAATTAAACCCAAACCCAAGTGCCATAACATAGCAATATATTTAATGAGACAATAACACCAAGTTCGGCAGATTTTTCTTCCCATTCCAGTGGTTAAACAACAAACAACCTATCTATCTTCCATCTAACAAAACATACATAACATTTGAAAGTATGGAACTTGACGATAAGACTGCATACATTTTATTATTTGAAAATTTTTACTATCAAATTCATATCTTACAGCTATTTTTAAGGACCATATCCAACACCGAATCAAACAATTACACACAATACACATTTGAACATGGAACCGGTGTAACATAACTCATACCTGTTGGACCCGGATACTGGGATACTACACTAAATTTATCAAAGAAATGGTGAAGTCCTAAAAGATAACACTAAATTTATCAAAAAAAATGGCGACAAGTCCTAAGAATCTAATAGAGCAACATCAAGTTGATGAAAATTAGATATGCTCATTATCTTCTCCACATTCCTGCATAGTTCTTTGCCAAAACAACAATAGGAAAGCTTCATCTATTTAACTGGTAAAACAATTTGACCACCATTGAACACCATATGTGAAATTGAACTATAGTTCCAATATTCAACAACTCAAAACTTAAAACCAACATAAGGACAAACAATGGCAAGAGAGGAATACTCAGTTACTCACAATACTCAATCCAAACCTTCTTGCCTGGGCTCCGGATTATCACCTGAACCCGAACCTGAGCCACGACCTCCGAAAAGCCAGGGAGCGATATCCTAAAACTCCTTTCGACAATCCGATTATCCCCCGTAGAGCTCTGCACACTACTAGCAGCACCGCTACCGCCACCATCACCACCGCCACTATCGTCCGGTGCCCCACGAACCCTCCTCTCATAATCAGGATCATCCGTAGGCAACTCATGACGACAGACAGGACACGAATTATGCAATTCCAGCCATGGAAATAAACAATCTTTATGATAAAGATGCTTACAAGGCATTTGCATCGCCTGAGATCCTTCCTCGAACTCGTCCATGCAAACTGCACATTGGTTGAACTCCGAATTCAAGTGATTCTTCGTTATCTTCACCGAAGGTAGATCATCCATAGCTGATTTCGATGCCGGGGGAGATCCATATCTATTCGGGTCATTCTCAGCCAGCTGCTGGATCAGTTGCTCGAGTCCCGGTCCGATGAAATAATCCCCAATGTTTGCTGGAAGCCGAAAGCTGACTCAGACGGATTATTTTCGATCACGAACTGGATATTTGCCCCGCTCGAACGGAGATCGTTAAGATGATTCTGGAAGAAGGTAAACGGATCGAAGGCGAACGGGTCACCCCGACCTGACCGTGACGACCCGAATACATTAGGGCTATTAGGGTCAGCAGAAGCCTGGGATGATGACGATAAAAGGAGGGGGAGAAGGGCAGAGAACGGGTCCGGTAACGATGAATAGGAATCGTCAAACGGAATTCGGCTCGGATTAAGGAAGTCGAAGCCGGAATTAGGGTTAGGGTTTTCGTACTCTTCTAGGAAGCCGTCATTACATAAGGGACAGGAAGGATCAGAGGAAGGGGAGATTGTTACGGTGACGGTACGGTTACATTGGTAGCAAAAGAAATCTTTACCGGTTACCACGGCGATAGCAGGGCCGCTGACATTCCCTGCGAACGACATGTTTTCACGACTGCGAGAGAGAGAGACAGAGTGTGAAACGGAATGTTAAATCTGAGGGTTTTTCTTAAAAATATAATATTTATATTGTGAGAGATTTTATTTTTTTTTCCTTCAAAGAGTCTTCTAGCAGATCCATGGGCTTTCCAAACTAAAATTTTAAAGCGTAAAATGTACAAATGATCCTGACTATACATATTATTTTATTGAATTTCTTAAATATTAAAAATTATAAAATAATTTTTTAACTATAAGATATTATTTTGTTTAATCTTTGATTATAAAAAATTATAAAATGATCCCCGACAATTCATATATTTTAAATTCGTCATTTTACGTTAAAAATTGATGACAGTTTGAGCTAGACTTTAATCTGCTGACTATGATACGATAAAATTCGATCACAAAAACTCAAACGACTATCATATCTCAATCAATAGGTTAACATCAAACTCATAGTGTCATCAAATTTTTAACGAAAAAGAACGAGTTTTGAACATATAAATAGTCATGTGATCATTTTGTAACTTTTAATAGTAAAAAGACTCAACAAAGTAACATCTAATAGTTTGAGAACTATTTTGTAATTTTTAATAGTCGATAGACTCAATAAAGCAACAACCTATAATCGGTGGATCATTTATGTACTTTACCCAAATTTAAAAATATATAAGACAAATTACAAATTTAATAATTGAATTTTACTCTCACTCTTATTTCACTCACTATATTTTTAATTTTTTTTAATTTAATCATTAAATTTTATATATTAATTTTTTTTTGTCACTCAATCCTTTTCTCCTTAACTCTATCCCGACGTAACATTTTTTTTATTAATTTTTAATCAATTGTATTTTATTTATATATATATATATATATATATCCAACACCAATTCATCTTCCAATGAAATCTCTATATATATATTATCCAACACCCAATTCATCTTCCAATGAAATCTCTCCACTGTCTTCTCTTCCCCTTCTCATCTCTCCATCGGTTCATCTTTCCTGTGAAAACATTCACCTCTTCTCTTCCCATTCTAATAATTGCATCCTTCGTCACCTTTGTAACACTCATAATCCATATAATTATACTTATACAGATTATAGATGTCACCTGAAATTTCGTAAAATATTTTCTTATTCAAAATGATTTAAAATTTCTTTTATTAAAATGGTAAATGATATTATAAAAATAGCATATCATATCAAATCATCACATACTATTTAAAAATATATATTAATATGAATTTATGCTATATATATTGAAAAAGAGTAAAATAGTTTAGTTTACTCATTATAAATCATTTAAAAAATAGTTCAACAAAGCAACTAGGACATTAATAATTACATGTCACTAACAAAGTCAAAATTACATCATAGGATATCTTACTGATATTGTAGTTTATTTCTGGATGTTCGGAGTGCCCTGTACTCTTTACTCTATTATTGGCTTTTTACCTACGCGTGAAAATCATCACACGCTAAGTATATACTTAGTGAGGCAATTAAAAACAATAAACATTGTAATACAACTCATGCATGAATTTCAATGTCAAAAACAAATGACATAAGATCATGTTACCTGCATATCCAATATTTTACCATGATCAAAATAATATAACTGAATATAAATTTTCTTACCAATATACTTGCCATTTATTCCATAAGCTCGTAAGCTTATTTGCATGCTTACCATTTATTAACCAATAAACCATAAACCATAGCCCAATTTAAAACCCTAGCCTAATTTAAAACCCTAAGAACCCTGTGTATTTGAGTAAAATACCAACACCTAAGGTCGTGCCCACCACCTACATTAAGTTTACGCCATAGTGCTAATCTGGATATACACATA